GTTTCAACGGCGAATAGCGTCTCTAAAGTGGTTCCATCATTCGGTATGCGTTTCGCACGTTCGAAATACACATTGTTGTTGCAGGACCACCAGACATTTGGTGACCCATTGGCCCTTGGTAGCGAGGAACTTACGGAGTTGGTCAATACACCTAATACGGTAGCCGCATCTGTAGCAATAGGTATGTGGCTGCTAATGTTTTTTCACTTGTTTTAGGATGATGCAACTGCCTTCTTGAATCTACGACATTTGTGGCGTCATAAATGGGTTTCCCTCGGTTTTAAAGACGCTGTTTACAAGCCGACAGAAAGTGCTGTCCTATTGTGTTGTAGTGAAACCTGGCTCCTTCGGTCTGGTGATCCAGCGCGTCTTCAAGTTTCCAACTACTCGTGTGGACCATTCCGTAAGCCATTGTGGTTGTGTGGCAGCAAAGCTTCAGTTTACATGGTTGTCATATCGTTGATGTTGTTGTTGATGATGATGATGCTGATGATCATGATGATGATGATTTCCCGAATTTGGATTGCAAGGAGGTCAGCTGCTCATGTCACGCGTTACCCTCTGTTCTTCCCTGGCACAACAGAGGATTTCGGGATGCGCCACTAAGCGGCTGTAAATCTTATCTCACGGCTTCAATTCGGTTCGGGCAATCAGTCTTATGTGTTAGCTTCTTTGCATCTTTTGGCCAATATGTTAGCGCGGTTCCTTTTAACTTTTTTCGGACCCTTTGCTTTTGTACTCCACCTGCGTTCTCCTTCATTTTCCTCACCTTTGTTGGCTATTGTTACTCCGTTGAATTGCGTCCTGGTTCCGAGATCCATAGCCCTATGACTGGGATTGGAACACAACTGATATCACGGACATTCTTACTGTGGTCTTTTACTCGGAGCGTTATCACGTCTATATCGCTGTACTTTCACACTATAGGCGACCGCTAGAAATCGTACTTAGGTGGTTACCTTTGACCTTGTTTGCCCCAGAGATTTGGTTTCTTAAGTTGATATGTCGCATTTGGTTATCATGACAAGGCTGCAACACTTGTATCTGTAAGATAGCGAAACGTCAACTGGAAGCACTGCTGTCTTGTTGTTGCTCTTATTTCTGCACTAGTACATTAGTGCCCCTTATATTTGAACCAAGAAATTCTCGGGTATCTTCCACAGGTAGCTTCCGCCACATCGGATTTCCAGTCAGTTTGGCTTATTTCTTTATCATTTCGAATATCACAGTGATTTCTCCCGACATTTGTGTTCTTTGTAGTTGAAATCACATGCTAAACATTTACAATGCGGAGAACTTTGATAACAGTGGGATGTACCACTGACAAAACCGAAACTACAATCATCAAACACATTTGGTGCAATATTCGTGTGGCACACCTATAGCTGTTTATTTTTACCACAGGTTGTCACTTACATGACTGCTGTACGTTAGCTGAGGTGTCTTTCTCACGTGTATTAATGATGATGATGATGGCTTACATGAGCCATGCTGAAAGACCATGTACTTCACATGTATGCTGACCAGCTTTTTTAATGTGCATTATATATTGTCGCTGCATCTTGTTGCGCTAACTTGTGAGCTGGTCAGTTGGTGGTGTGACCTAATGACACGACGCAATTGATCGGTACATAATGTCTTCGCAGATGAACTCCTCTTTATAGGCCACATGAGCGATTGTAGACTAGCTGACGGCTCACAGCTACATGACCAGTAACGCTGCCACATTCCGTTAATATTTGTTTTACTCATTTTTCCCAACTTAGTATTGGGGATAGACCATTTGCGTTCTACTCCATTATCTTGGTAACCTACATCGTTCAATTGGATCCGCCGCGCTCTGGTGGCCAGACCTTTTTTAACTGAACAGCATATCTGTCATACTATCTGGCGTTGCTTCAGTCACAGATATCAGCCTAATATCCACGATGTTTCGACTCAAAGACCACTGCTTCTCCATATTTGGAAGCACGTTCTTACTAACGCATTGCTAATGGCGCTTAGCTCGCATGTCAGCTCCCGCATGCTAGCTCACCGGCTCCTGCGACGTGCGTTGTTTGCGCACCGGGGGTGGATAGAAGAGGAAGAGCGGTGGCCAAGGGACGACTTGGTCGAGAGGAATGAAGGTCCTCACTTCGAAGTTGGTCTCAGTTCGAGCGTCTCGGCTCCCTGGTTGGGGTTCGAAAGCCGACGAATACCTTTGTCTGGATAGGTTTGCTGACATGGCTAGGAGACGACCTCAGAGTGGCGTTCATGCTGTGCGTTTCTGTGTACCTCCGCATCCCTTAACCTCCCCCTCCAACCACGATCTCATTTCTTAGCATAATCTAATTTTACGCAATAACTTTTGTTGCATAGTAGACGGCTGGCAGCTTTCCGAAACGATGCGCATCCGTTACTGGTAGCTCAGTTGACATGCATATGTTGCATGTTTTTTCTTTTATGTATTGTGGCACAGTAGCTGAGGTGTTTTCCACCTATATCTAACGTATATAATGATGAACGATCATTAGCTCAGCCACACGGTGATACCGCAACCTTGTTTCTCATTTCGAAGCCAGTAGTCTCTACGCTCTCGCGGTGAACATCGTGAGTGCGTGCACTTTTTTCACCCATTTATCCCATGCTACGTGCGTTAGATGCATCAGTAGAATTTGAACAATGGGAGATGAGCAATCTGGTTTTTGGAAAGACAGACCGCTAGCAATTTGAACATAAAAATTCAGTGTTTGCTAAGTTGCGCATCCTTTCTTTTCTCCTCTCTCTGGAACATGTCGCTGACATCTATACGGGGTTGCTTCGACTTGTCAAGGGGTCATGTAAACGATTAGTTACTCCAACTCGATAGATTGCCGGTGTTGGTCGCTCCAAACATTGCATTTTAGGACAAGTTTCGCCCATGTGTTCATTCTTTAGATGAGGATAGCTGGAGCTGGACGTCTAACTGAACATCCTACATGAACTTGGTGCTAATTTACTCGCCCCACGGTTATGCGTACGTGTTTGGATTTTGAAGTTCCTGCTGTATGTTTGAATTGCGACCTCCCTTAAGGCCACCATTACTGTGTGCTTACGATCTCTGGAACCGCACCCAAAGAGACATCCGTTCGCTCTTGTTCGCTCTAAACACCATCTGTTTCTCGCGCTTCAATATTTTATGGTAGAGATGTTCAGCGCTTGGATTAATACCAGTGATCATCGAATGCATGTTCTCGTGTGTGCACCAGAGTACTTTACTATTTATTTGCTTCTATTTTAGATCGGGACCGATTTCCTGGAGGAATCAATTACTCAATTTCACGAACACGTCCAGTCTGTGGATATTGCTTCCTTCAATAAAGTGTAACGATTTACGCCAAATATGCCTCTTCATTGTGAATTACACATCTAGTATTTGGATCTTACTTTTTGCATGCACTTTTCAAATGGACTTTAGCTTCGGTATTGAATTATTTGACGGCCGCGCTGCTAGTGCGTGACCATAGAAAAATTTTGAACTATTCCTATACAGTCAGTTTCCACCAGCTTGCTTCTCATCTAAGCGCAACGCGATGGAAAGTGTGCCCGTTCTTGAGTTTTCTTTATTGCTTTTGTTGTGGCCTTCTATGAATCGCAAACGTGTCGATCTCAAAACCCAAACCTTCGACCGAAAACAGTGGTTGAATGACGTCAACAAGGAACACTTACGAGAAGACACAAACGAGGTATATAGGATACGATTTTGTTGGTTTATAATGTCCTCCTACACAATGATCTTGAAACTGGAGACGTTCAAACAGCCCTTGATCGAACCAAGGTCACGACCTTGAGACAAGCGAATCACCGAGCCAAGTAGCTAGCAGCTGCATCCCACTGAACTCGCTAAAGTCTGCGTCCCCTGACATCTCCCCCTTTTGAATGAACCGCATAAGTTTTCAGCTTGGGGTTCACCTGCATCGGAATCACTGACTTCCGGCGTCGATCCGTCCATCTTCTTGGTGCTAACCTGAGTAAAGATGTAGGAAGTGGAGTCTCCTGTTCGGGTTTGAAGTCTTCTTAGGCTGATACGGAATGTATCGAGGAGCAAGTCTAACGGAAACTTACTGCGCGGGATTGTATCTGATTGGCATATCGGACCCAAACCTCAACCTTGACAGCAACGTCATACGTGACTATACTAGTTCGACGAATGATACGTCCTGGAGTCCAAGTAACCTGGTTGTTGCGGTAGTCCTTTGCCAGCACAGGTTGCTCTTTGAAGAAATCTCACTTCTGAGCACCGTGTCTCCCGTTTAACTGCTGTTCCATTTTTCTGTTTCGTCTCTGGCTGTTCCTGTCAGATGGCCAGAGCAAATCAAGGCTGGATCGCAGCTTCCGTTGCATCAGTGCTTCGGCTGGAGATTTACCTTGAGGCACCTGCGGATTTGGGGTTATCCTGTAAACAAACAGAAGAGTCTCAAGGATCTCGTCCGTCAGTCCGTCCCCCTTCGCCTTCAGTAATGCTCTCTTGAAGGTGTCCACGAATCGATTTGTTAGGCATTCGACTATAGATGGTAGGGAGGTGACCTCATGTGGGTTATACCGGTTTTATTTCAGAAGTCCTCGAAAATTGCTTAAGTGAACTGAGTTCCGATATCAGTCACTAATGTGTCTGCATACCCGAAGTGACTGAAGACCTGTCGAAATGCAGTAATGGTCACTGAAGCAGTAGTCGATAGCGTGTGCAGTACCCCTGACCACTTACTGTAGGCATCAATCAGGATAAGGAATTTTTTCATTAATAGGTCCAGCGTAATCGGCATGGAGCCTCGACCATTGCTTTTCTGAGTCCGGCCAACAATGGAGCCCTGCTTTCCTTAGCAACTTCGAAGCAAGTGCGCATTTGGAATAAAAACGGACAAGCTCTTGGACTTGAGCATCCAGATGAGGCCAGTACACGTAGCTTCTATCCAATGTTTTCATGCAGTTTATTCCCAGGTGTCCGGTGTGGAACTGCTTCGGAACCCTCGGCTGAAGTTCCTTGGGAACCACTGCTCGTTCTTCAAAGACTAGGCAGCCGTCGACGATTGACGGAATTGCGACGCTGATGAAACTGCTTCAATCTTCTGTGGCCATTTTGAGCTGTAAAAGCAGTTCAGTTGCTGTAGCTGTGGATCCTGTGAGGTTGCGACACGTACATTAGAAGCTGTTCCTAGGATAACTTTAATTACATCTGCGACAACGCAACAAACTTCAGGCTCGATCGAGAGATGCTTGTCACTACAACGTACTCTAGCTCCTGTCGATCTTTGTTTATGAGGCTTGACAAAGCATCGACCAGACCCGTGTTCCCAGGCGATTGATACTTGATTTCGAAATCATATCTCAAAAACATTGTGGCCTGTGATGGAAGTGTCAGATCAGTGTAAGCATATGTACTAACCGAGCGAGCTAAACAACCAATGGGAGATAGACGTAGCGGATTCGATTATTGGACTCGGATTACCGATATTCATGTGAGTAGTTCACAGTGACAGGAAACCTCATCGGTTCAGGAGGGTCGTTCGTTATGGACTTAAACGTGCAACTTATATCGAGGAGTTGGGCTTGCTAAACGTGCTGTAATTTTTGCCGACTTGGCTTTGCTGAATTAACGCTTGTCCCTGGAGGACTGAATTCTGCAAGTTGTTGTCAGAGGAGACAAAGCCGAACCCCACCGGCGGCGCTCGGATGCTTTTTGGACCACCAGCGGGTACTCAAGTGCCTGCTCCATTGAAAATGGATGAGCGGAACTTGGCGAGTAAATGGCATCTATGGAAGAGCAAATGGATGGATTTATATACCTTCCTATGTTTGGACGAGCAACCGATGGCACATCGTCTTGCCATGTTTCGACACGCAGCCGGAGATGACGTGCGCCGAGTGGTAGAGCCATTGCGGTACAACAAGGAACATGATCCCAATAAGTTGGAGACAGTTATTGAGAAGTTCAGTGAATTTTGCGGCCAAACCAACAAGACCTACAAGCGCTATCTTTTCTCTTCGCACAATAGAGGCCCAGACGACTCGGCTTCTGCAATTTCTCTATATGCATGGGTGACAGTCTCATACAAGATCGGATCGTTCTAGGAATTAATGATGAAAGTACGACGAAGCGGCTTTTTCTTCAACACAAATTATCACTCCGGCAGTGCATCGCTATCTGCAACAGTGAGTTACTTACCACCTGTCAGTACCAGCAAATGAAACTTGTAACTGATGCAGAGTTAAGTACCGTATCCGGATGCGACGCAGCGAAGGCTACTAACGTGAGACAAGAGATCTGCAAATTTTGCGCCGCGCGACACCCGAGCTTTCGCGAACAGTGTCCGGCGTGGGGTCGGAGATGCGGCAAATGTGGAAACAGAAACCACTTTGCTCGTTGTCGCCGATCAACCAATGTGAGTGCGATCGTTCGTGACAAGTCCCTCGCAGATGCAGAACATTTTAGTGACAACGTGTCTCGGAGTGTGTCGCAAAATGTATCTACTCAACTCTTGATCAAAAGCAAAGCCGTTCGGTTCCAGTTAGACACGGGAGCTACTGTCAACATTTTAGCAAGGAAGCACTGTCCCGGAGAGTGCATTCGATCCGATCAAGATTGCCTGCAAACGTGGAATGTTTCCCGGCTTCATCTGAAAGGCTCAGCTGCTATCAAAGTGGTTAACTCAAGAGACAGTGCCTCGCATCGACTGAAGTTCGTGATTGTGAAGGAGGAGCTCACGCCGATTCTCGGCATTGATTCGATTCATTCTCTCGGTTTTGTTGTTTTTAATCATGATCGTTTTGTACATATTTGCTAAAGAGAAACCAGTATTATCGATCAGTATCCGTCTGTGTTAAGTCCGGGTTTGGGAAAGTTTGAGGGAACCGCTCACTTGTCCTTAGATTGTTTGATACGACCGACAGCGCTACCAGTTAGGAGAGTTCCATTTGCACTGCGTGACAGGTTCTCCGCTGAATTAAGCAAATTAATGAGCGATGGTGTGATTACCAAAGCTGACGAGCCAACCGACTGAGTTAGTCAGGTCGCAATCATTACGAAGAAGATGGGCGAACTGTGTGTGTGTATTGACCCAAAACCGTTGAATGAGGCCTTGCGTAGAGAGCATTACGCGCTACCTACCTTAGGAGACATTTTGCTGCGTTTGGCTAAAGCCGTGTTTCACGAAGGTAGACCTCTTCGGCATTCTGGCACGTGGTTCTAGCTGAAGAATCCAGTTTCCTTACTAGCTTTGTCACCCCGTTCTGGCGTTATCGTTGCCTTCGTTTACCGTTGGGTTTGAAGTTGTCGAGTGAAGGTTTTCCAGAGCGATTGGTGCAAGCGGTAGACGATTTAGATGATGTACCATGCGTGGTAGACGATGTTTTGATCTATGGCTCGTTAGAAAAACATGACGCCAATCCACGGTTTCTTACAGCGTTGTGTGCAGAAGAACATCAAGCTTAAACGGTAGAAAATTGAACTTCGGAAAGACGAGGTGATTTGCCATGGGCATTTGCTAACAACCAAAGGGCTCAGGGTCGATCCAGGAAAAATTAAGGCAATTCGAGAGATGCTGCAGCATAACGACGTGAATGAAATCCTTCGCTTAAACTGTATGCTGAATTACGTGAGCCGTTTGTGCTAAGTATCGCTGCTTTCATGTCACCGATGAGCAAGTTAACTCACAGGCGAGTAAAGCGGAGTTGGGGAGGACAGGAAACCGCATTCGAAACTGATAGGCAACTCATAAGTAAGGCGCCTGTGCTCGGGTATTAACGACCCAGTGCAGCTTTTGGAAGTACAGTGTGACAGTAGCCAGTATGATTTAGATGCTGTTCTCTTACAGAATGGGAACCTCCGGGTTTCCGCAGCCGAGCAGTGCTATGCGCAGATTGCAAATGAGATACTTGCAGTAGTCCATGCCATGGAGCGTTTCAGTAAATATACTTTCGGAGAAAAGACAACTGTATGCCAACCACAAACCGCTTGTGTTAATTAGCCAGGAAACCGCTGCACGCCGTTTATCGTCGCCCTCAACGTATACTTATCCGGCTTCAAAAGTACGACGCGGATATTGTGTACACGCCTGGAGCACAGATTTTCATCGCGGATACGCTCTCAAGAGGTCATCTGCCTGTACCCTATCATTATCCGGAAGTGATCGAAGCAGTAAACAGTACAGCATCTCGCAGTGACAGGAAATAAGGCGCCAAATATAGGAAGATGCAACGTCTCCTGCTTTGCGAGGTGCTATTCTAAGTGGGTGACCAGAGACAAAGAAGCAGCTGCCGAAGGAACTAACAGCCCACTTCAATTTTCGGGATCAACTCTGTCTGATGGTTTGCTGTTCAAGCGAAACCGTA